CTAAGCTTTTGGGGCTTACAGTTTCAGTTTATTGTTTCAGGTACATCATGGGATCGCGGCAAGGCGAAGGCATGATCGTACAACTCCTCATGATTTGTTTATGTTTCAGGTACTTCCGGTTCGAAGGGGAAGAACTCGGGATGATCGCATCGCACACATACCATGATTTTCCGCTTTATTTGATCCTGATGTACTTTTGGATGATTATTTATATAATCTGATTTCCCTTATGGTTTTTATAAATATGTTTGGTTAATGGTGTTATTAACACAAAAATGAAATTTTTGGTCATAAATTTTTGGGACGTTACACGAGAAGCCCTAGTACATCTACAACCAGTTAAAGAAACTTCTTAAAAGACAATGGACATTAATAATTGTGTGGCCCAGGATTATGAATATGAAGACAAACATTTGTACTTGTTGAATAATTATGTGGTTTAAGATTAAGAAGTTGAAGACAATAATTTGCTACTTGTTGAATTGTGGGATTCATCTTGTTTGGTTTTGATTTTGATGTTTCTAAAATGATTTTCTTCACTTTATTAGGCTAACAACACTTAATTATCTTTTATGATTAATAGTATGTCTGAAACAAGGGAACCCTACCACCGTTCAACCATATGATTAGTCTAAAAGGTATACAAAATCTTGTTTTATCTTGACTTTTAAAGAAAAAGAGACAAATAACAAAGTTACCAAGCATATGGAAGTTGGAGAAGCTCATATATTTCATAATATTGGCCGTTTGGATAAGGGTCAACAGAAAATGAAACATGTAATCAACAGTAGTACTTGAATGATCAAGTAAGCTTGTCTTTCTCTCATTTTATGTTGCAATCAGTACTTGCATAATTGTTACTGTTTGGATGTATAAAACTATAAATAATTGTTTGTTTGTTTTTTCTGTTCATGTTTACAAGTATTTAAATATTTAGATATTTTATGGTTTAACCATTATATTTTATTTTTTCTATTAAAACCAACTACTTTTGAAAAACAGTTCCACCATGGCTTTTATAACCTCTTATTGCAGGTTACCCTCATAATCTGTTATTCTATTTTTTTCTAACTAAGTTTAATAATTTTTTTTAATGTGCCAACAATAACAATAAATAGAATTTAACTAAAAAGTAAAAAGTAATGATTTTTTAGGTATAGTGGTAAAACGGTTAATAATTTTCATCCAAAGTTACAATATTCAAAATAGTAAGTCTATAATGAGTTTGACAATGATGCATCAAGTCTTACAATAGTGCATCTGATACGAACCCATCCCATACTAGGCTCGTATCATATCATAAGCCCAAGTGTAGAACTCACTCCCAAAAGCCAGCTTGTAGGAGGAGGGGACACTTAGACTTATAAGCCACCAACTTATAGTACTTTCGACCGATGTGAGATCATAACAATACCCCACGCTTTGAAGAGCCAACGTCCTCGTTGGTCACGGTTAGCACCCCCTTTTGGGGAAGCCACCACTCCGAGTCATTGTTGGTTACGGCTACGTTGGTCACGGTTGGCACCCCCTCTTTTCAGGTCCAAGCCACCACTCCGTAGGCCACCACTCCAAGTGTTGGCACCCCGAAAGATGGGGACGGCTCTGATACCAATTGATACGAACCCATCCCATACTAGGCCCGTATCATATCATAAGCACAAGTGTAGAACTCACTCCCAAAAGCCAACTTGTAGGAGGAGGGGACACTTAGACTTATAAGCCACCAACTTATAGTACTTTCGACCGATGTGAGATCATAACAGCATCACATTGTATCGCTCGTAATCTATAAACTTTCATGAGAGCTATATACAAACCCGTTTAAAGAGTCGTACATAGAGCTCGATGCATACCAATATACATGGGTATTTTGGACAGTATTAAGCCAATAAAACTTTGACTGCTAAAATCAATCATTATTTTAATAAAAATATGGACAGTTTGGTCATAAACTGTTAAAAGAAGCCATTTTTTCAATAAACAAGAAGAAAAAAAAACATCCAATGTATTATGACAAATTACATGTGCATATGAAAATAAAACATTAGATATACATACAAATTTAAAGGGCATACAAACGAGATAATATTCATTCCAAACATGTGCATAAGGCACTAAATGTTGGTAAATGTGTGACAACGGTACATGCCAATGTATTTGGACAACAATGAACTATTTATGTAATTCTCTATGTAGCCCACGGATGGCGCCAATGTTGCTACACAATCTCCTGGATGACTGATAGTCTTCGAGTGATTAATCTTCCTAATGCACAAACATGATGGCACACTGTAAGAGATAAATGCTAGGTTAGAAACGATACCGAGGGATGGATTCCGATATTACTCTGCGATGCCTATATTAGATGTCGAATGATAAGCTTGTCAAATTGCTTGTGTGAGAAATTTATGCCCTTACCGATGTATATCGAGGCCCTTATACACACCCGAGAAAGTCCGAGTTCTTGCTTCATTGACCAAGCTATGTTTTTATCTGAAGGTTGCAAGGGTAATACCATTTGATATAATAGTGTTGCTTTTTCTATGTTTCCCGGGATGTTGCATACTATTTGCACAAATGATTTTTTTTTGTTATAAAATATTGTTTTTCCGACTATTCAGTTGGTTTAAGCTGCTGAATGGCGGTCGGCTCGGTAAATTGTGGGATTACCATGTTGTTGTTTTCATATCATTTTTATGTATGAGCTAAACCCCATACACCATTATAAGACATTAATATAATTTGTAATTCATCTTACTAATCTAAAACAATCATTTTAGTCTTATTTTGTTATATAACTTTTTAAGATCATATTTTTTAGGATAAATTCATCGTTCATCTCACTTATCCCTAAGATCAAAGACCCCATCTCGCTTCGGGATTTCAGACCCATCAGTCTGATTGGTTCTCTGTACAAAATCATTGCCAAGATCTTAGCGAGCAGAATAAAGAAAGTGATGGGGAATTGTATAGATGATGTGCAGTCAGCGTACGTAGAAGGAAGAAATATCCTTGATGGGCCGTTAATAGTTAATGAGATCTGCTCCTGGGCAAAGAAGGTGAAAAGGAAAGTTCTGCTCTTCAAAGTGGACTTTGACAAAGCATTCGATTCCATTAACTGAGGATTCCTTGACTCCAATCTAAAAATTATGGGGTTCGGTGACAAATGGAGGGCATGGATTAAGGGGTGTCTTGAATCATCTAAAGCATCATTCTTGGTTAAGGGAAATCCGACCAAGGAATTTTCAATATCAAAAGGGGTTCGGCAGGGTGACCCACTTTCACCGTTTCTCTTCATCATAGTAATGGAGGGTCTAAGTGCTGCTATGAAAGCTGCATGTGAGATTGGTGTCTTCAAAGGTTTAGTTCTACCACACGGGGGACCAACCATCTCTCACCTACTATATGCTGATGACGCATTGTTCGTAGGAGAATGGTCGAAAAGGAATATAAAAAACCTTGCAAGGATTCTGAATTGTTTCCATGTTTCTTCGGGCCTCAAAGTTAACTTTGATAAGTCCAAGGTTTTTGGTATAGGCGCTGACTCGCAAGAAGTCTCCAGTTGGGCAGCAACTCTCGGTTGTAAACCATCATCTCTCCCTTTCACATATCTTGGGGTCCCAATCGGAGCGAACATGAATCTTTCCAAGAACTGGAAACCGGTGATCGAGAGATTTCATAAAAAACTTTCCATTTGGAAAACTAAAACGCTATCATTCGGTGGTAGACTAACATTAATTCAATCGATATTGGGCAATCTACCAAGCTATTACCTCTCAATCTTCGTTGCTCCAGAAGGGGTAGTAGAAAAGTTGGAAAAAATTCGCAGGACTTTTTTATGGGGAAGATCTTAAGGAAAAAGATGCATTCATTGGGTCTCTTGGGACAAAGTGACTGCTTCTAAAGAAGATGGTGGTCTCGGGGTCAGTAACATTAAATCACTAAATATTTCTCTCATTATGAAGTGGTGGTGGAGATTGAGGTCTGAACCTGCAGCCCTCTGGGCCAATGCCATAATCAGCATGCATAATTTTAAAAACAAACCTGACCTCTGTTATGCCAATAAATACATATCAGGCACATGGAAAAACATTGCAAGTATTGGCAAGCATCTTCAAAAAAAAAAAGACATCCCCATTGATTCGGTGATATCCAAAGAATTTGCCCCCACGGGTGCGGCATGGAAGTGCCATCTCACGGGTGACGGAACTTACTCAGTGAATGTTCTCCGGAAAAAATTGGATTTTAACCCTAATGTAAATATTGGACGTTTCACATGGCTGAAGGAGGTTCCAATTAAAGTTAATTGCTTCATATGGAGGGCTAAATTGGGCAAAATACCTTCTGCTGTAGGTCTCTTGTCTAGAGGGGTAGCTTTGGAAAGTCCAATATGCAAACAATGTGAGGATGTCAATGAATGTTCAGACCATGCCCTGATTGGATGCAAATATGCGAAAACGGTTATGCAAGGGGTCTTTCAATGGTGTGGTGTTGCCATGGACGAGTTCAGTACAGTGAACGACATGATCACATTTGTAAATTCACGTTTCGGATGCTAAAAAAAAGGAGAATGTTCATGGGAATATGTTACAGTATGCTTTGGAGTATATGGAAAGCAAGAAATGAAAGAGTCTTCGAAAATAAACGGGTGTCCCCTTATAATCAGGTAGACATTACCAAATCCATCACTCACCTGTGGATCAAAAATAGGGGTAAAAAAGGCAACATTGATTGGTTAGCATGGTGTAATTGCCTATTTTTCTGTTTGTAAACGGTTGCCTACATTTTGTATTCCCATCTTCCTCTTCTAGTCACTTGCTAGAGGTTGGTTTTTTAATATATATATTTTTTCTGCTGGTTTAAAAAAAAAAAAAACTTGAGGATGTGTTTGTGCATTAAAACTAAAATTATGACCAATAGTAAAAGAGCCTAAAACTTAAGGGTCGTTTTTTGCGGTATATCTCCGATGAACCGCAACAAGTACTTCCCACAATCCTCGACGATTGAAAAACGACGTCGTAAAGCCGTCTGATACGAGACAATTCGAACAAAAACAAGATGGAATCAGAGAAGCCTCAGTCTCCCAGTCAACTTTCTCGTCCTCCTTTTTTGCTTTCTTTAACACACATTACAGAGAGCGAATCTCAACGAGCTCAACAAGAATCTATTCATACTTCCCCGGATCGATGAACTTAAGTTGTAATTTCTTTATGGTTTTAGGATTTTGAGGGTGTCAATTTCGAACTAGGGGTTTTTTGTTGTGTGAGGGTTTGCGAGATTGTAAATATGATGGTATCAAGAGGTTTATTTGGTTGGTCGCCGCCGCGGCAACAGCCGCTAACGCCGGTGTCGGAGGTGTCGGAGTGTCCGTCTCCTTACGTAGACACAAGTAACGATGCGGTTCCTACAGAAATTGATGATGTAGTGGAGGAGACGGAGGAGATCGAGCAGCCTCCGGAAACAGTGCCGTTTTCGAGGCTGTTCGCGTGTGCTGATAGGTTTGATTGGGTGCTTATGGTAGTTGGATCGGTTGCTGCGGCGGCGCATGGGACTGCGCTTGTGGTTTACTTGCATTATTTTGCTAAGATCATTCAGTTGCTGAGTCATGGCGATGAGAGTTCGGATTTGCTTTTTCATAGGTTCAAAGAGGTAATTAGAACTTTATGCTTTTCATTCTGAACCACAAGTAATCGTGAGCTGCTGTCCTTTTCTTCATAAAGAAATTTCAAATCCAAAATTGGTGATGTTTTTAATTTCAGCTCTGAAAACAATTATATTGCTATTTGTGAATCTAGTTATTAGATTTCCTCCTATCATCAATTAATTCTGATCATTTTGAATAATCCGGATTTTCTAATGAGATTCAAAATCATTTGCTTCACGATATCACTTGTTCATAAGATCAAAGTCATAAAACCATAAATTCATACACTTTCATGATTTCTGCAGCTTGCTCTGACCCTTCTTTATATTGCTGGTGGTGTTTTTGCTGCTGGTTGGATAGGTACACATTCTTATCTACTCTCATTTATCTGTCATTTTCACAATGCCCCTTTTGTAATCACTTTTCCATTCAGAGGTTTCATGTTGGATTCTTACCGGAGAAAGGCAGACAGCTGTTATTAGGTCTAGATATGTCCAAGTACTTCTAAATCAAGATATGAGTTTCTTCGACACATATGGCAACAATGGTGACATTGTGAGTCAAGTATTAAGTGATGTATTGCTTATCCAGTCTGCTCTTAGCGAAAAAGTACGTTCTTTTCTCATCAAGTTTTGCTTATTGGAATTAAAATGTTAAATTTTCTTTAACATCATCCATCATTATCATTAATGCAGGTTGGTAATTATATCCATAACATGGCTACATTCTTCAGTGGGCTTGCAATTGGATTCCTCAACTGTTGGCAAATTGCTGGGCTCACTTTATTAACTGGCCCCTTTATAGTGGCTGCAGGAGGAATATCAAATATATTTCTCCATAGACTTGCTGAGAATATTCAAGATGCTTATGCTGAAGCAGCTAGTGTTGCTGAACAGGTTAAGTATTAAAGTCATCATCAAATCTAACAAATAGATCAGGACACACATTTATTTTGTGGTTACTTAATGAAAAAAAAACATATACATATATTTTCATTTTGCAGGCGTTTTCTTACATGAGGACATTATACGCATTCACAAACGAAACATTAGCAAAATACTCATATGCAGCTTCACTACAAGCTACATTAAGATATGGTATTCTAATAAGTCTTGTACAAGGGTTAGGACTTGGGTTCACATATGGGCTTGCAATTTGCTCTTGTGCTTTACAACTTTATGTTGGAAGATTTTTAGTTATACACAAATATGCTCATGGGGGCGAAATTGTCACAGCTCTTTTTGCTGTTATCTTAAGTGGGCTTGGGTTGAATCAAGCAGCTACAAATTTTTATTCATTTGAGCAAGGAAGGATTGCAGCGTATAGACTTTTTGAGATGATTGCTCGTTCATCATCCAGTGTTGATAATGAGGGAAACATTCTTGATTCTGTTCAAGGGAATATTGAGTTTAGAAATGTTTATTTTAGTTATTTGTCACGTCCTGAGATACCGATTTTGAGTGGCTTTTATCTCACTGTTCCTGCTAAGAAAACCGTGGCACTTGTTGGAAGAAATGGATCTGGTAAAAGTAGTATTATTCCACTTATGGAAAGGTTTTATGATCCTACATTAGGTATGTAATATGTTACTTCATTCTATCTTCACACTATTTCTTACAAAAGTATTAGTTCAGTGATCTATTGAGTCTCAAAAAACAATTAGGGACTTAAAGTGCAAAATGCTCACAGTTTGTTGACAACTAATGACATTAACCCTATTTCTTTTATATGAACTGATGTAATATATTCTTTTATTTATTGTTTTCTTTTTCAGGGGAAGTTCTTCTGGATGGAGAGAACATCAAGAACCTGAAATTGGAATGGCTAAGGAGTCAAATTGGTTTAGTCACTCAAGAGCCTGCATTACTAAGCTTAAGTATCAGGGACAACATTGCCTATGGGAGAGATGCCACATCACTTCAAATTGAAGATGCAGCTAAAACAGCTCATGCACATACATTCATCAGCTCACTTGAAAAAAGGATACGATACACAGGTAACTAAAAACCAAAAGAGTAATTGAAATTATAAAATTACCTTTTTAACCTAATGAAAAAAATGTTTTGCTTTCAGGTAGGTAGGGCTGGTTTATCTTTAACAGAAGAACAGAAGATAAGACTTTCTGTTGCAAGGGCAGTGCTTTCAAATCCTTGTATTCTTCTTCTTGATGAGGTGACAGGTGGACTTGATTTTGAAGCTGAAAAGATCTGTTCAGGAGGCTTTGGATTTGTTAATGTTGGGTCGTTCAACCATTATAATTGCTAGAAGGCTTTCTTTAATTAAAAATGCTGATTTTATAGCTGTGATGGAGGAAGGTCAGTTAATGGAGATTGGGACACATGATGAATTAATAGCTTCAGATGGGTTATATGCAGAGCTTTTAAGATGTGAAGAAGCAGCTAAACTCCCAAAAAGGTACATTCAGGTGCTATTAAAGTTTACTTCTTATGAGTAATTTTAATTTATGTAAAAACAATTAGTGAGTTTATTTGATATCATTTTAGGATGCCTGCAAGAACCCCCAATGAGACCTCAACATTCCAAATCGAAAAAGATTCCACCTTACAAGAACCATCATCTCCCAAATTTACCAAATCGCCCTCACTTCAGCGAGCCTCCAACCTACACACAGCAAGATCTCCAGATTCCAATTACAACTCACATGGATCTCCAAAAAAAACAGTTGAAAATGGAACAGAAAACCAGCCACCAATAAAAAGACAAGACAGTTTTGAGAAAAGATTACCAAATTTACCAAAAATCGATGTCCATTCAATCCCACGCCAACAATCACTCAATTCTGACCCCGAATCACCAATTTCACCATTGTTGACATCTGATCCGGATAATGAAAGGTCACATTCACAAACTTTCAGTCGACTTAATTCTCGTTCTGATCACCATCCGGTCAAGGTCAAAGTCAAAGTTAAAGTCAAATCAGTGAAGGAGAAGAAAGAACGAAAAGATCCTCCATCAATGTGGAGGCTTGTGGAACTTAGCTTTGCTGAATGGCTTTATGCTGTTTTGGGAAGCATTGGTGCTGCGATTTTCGGTGCTTTTAACCCTCTTCTCGCGTATGTAATCGCCCTAGTTGTCACAGAATATTACAAAAATGACACCCACAGACATATGCGACATGAAGTGGATAAATGGTGCTTAATTATCGCATGCATGGGTGTTGTTACTGTAGTAGCAAATTTTTTGCAGCATTTCTATTTTGGGATAATGGGGGAGAAAATGACAGAGAGAGTTAGGAGAATGATGTTTTCTGGTTAGTAATTCTTCTTCCTCAATCACGTAAATTACATTTTTGGTCCCTGAGTATAGTCGATTTTTGCAATTTTGGTCCATATTTGAGGTTCTTGTAACGTTTCTGGTCCCTGTTCCAAAACGTACAAAAACCTTAAATAAGGACCAAAATTGCAAAAATCGACTATACTCAGGGACCAAAAATGTAATTTACTACTAAGGTTAATTTGATGATTGTTTTTTTTTTTTTTTTCCAATTATAGCAATGCTTAGGAATGAAATTGGGTGGTTTGATGAAGAAGAGAACAGTGCTGATACATTGTCAATGCGGTTGGCAAATGATGCAACTTTTGTGAGAGCTGCTTTTAGCAACCGACTTTCTATTTTTATACAAGATGTTACGGCTGTTCTTGTGGCACTCCTGATTGGGATGCTTTTAGAATGGCGGTTGGCTTTAGTGGCTCTGGCTACAGTACCTGTTCTTACTGTTTCCGCTATTGCTCAGGTACGTACACGTTAGATTGCATGTTGTACATGTGTTTCTTGCTTTCGTTTGTTTTTTAAGGTTTTCATTAGGTATTGTTTCATTTGTTTGTCATTCCATATTTCCATTCCACGAACCAAACACTACCTTACGAATTTAAACTTTTCAGAAACTATGGCTAGCCGGATTCTCAAAAGGCATCCAAGAAATGCACAGAAAAGCATCATTAGTCCTTGAGGACTCAGTTAGAAACATCTACACTGTAGTCTCGTTTTGCGCCGGAAACAAAGTAATGGAGCTTTACCGCTTCCAACTCCACAAAATCTTCACAAAAAGCTTCCTCCACGGCCTAACAATCGGCTTCGCCTTTGGATTCTCCCAATTCCTTCTCTTCGCCTGCAACGCCTTCCTCCTTTACTACACCGCACTCTCAATCAAAAACCATCACGTCAATCTCCCAACCGCTATCAAATCCTACATTGTCTTTTCATTTTCCACTTTTGCCCTTGTCGAGCCTTTCGGTCTCGCCCCTTACATTCTCAAAAGACGAAAATCCCTAACTTCCGTATTCGAAATAATCGACCGAATTCCCAAAATCGACCCCGACGACCCCACCGCGTTAAAACCACCAAACGTCTACGGCTCCATCGAGTTGAAAACCATCGACTTTTCCTACCCGACGCGCCCCGACATCCTCGTACTAAACAATTTTTCCCTCAAAATAACCGGCGGGACAACCGTCGCGGTTGTAGGCGTCTCCGGATCCGGTAAAAGCACGATCATATCATTAATCGAACGGTTCTACGATCCGGTTTCCGGAAGCATCACGTTAGACGGACGCGATTTAAAACAATTCAACCTCCGATGGTTGCGAAACCACCTCGGTGTAATCCAACAAGAACCCGCGATTTTTTTAACAACGATTAAAGAAAATATAATCTACGCGCGACATAACGCGAGTGAGGCGGAGATTAAAGAAGCCGCGAGGATTGCTAACGCGCACCATTTCATAAGCAACTTGCCACACGGGTACGACACGCATGTGGGGATGCGAGGGGTGGAGTTGACTCCGGGTCAAAAGCAACGGATCGCGATAGCGAGGGTTGTTTTGAAAAACGCGCCGATTTTGTTGTTGGACGAGGCGAGTTCGGCGATTGAGAGTGAGTCGAGTCGGGTGGTTCAAGAGGCGCTTGATACGTTGGTTATGGGGAATAAAACGACGATTTTGATAGCGCATAGAGCGGCTATGATGAGACATGTTGATAATATTGTGGTGATTAATGGTGGGAGGATTGTTGAGGAAGGTGGGCATGATTCTTTGATGGAGAAGAATGGTTTGTATGTGAGGTTAATGCAACCTCATTTTGGGAAGGGTGTACGTCAACATAGGCTTCTTTAGGGTTTGTAGATTGAATGAGATTGAGGAGAGTATTCTTTTGGAGGCGAAGGAAACTTCGTGGTATATTGATTTTTGTTGATTGTAGCAGAATGGTTGTGTACTTGTGTTTGTTTATTTTTGGTGATTTTTTATAGATTTGTATATGCAAGTTGATACAGGCTAAAATGGAGGAAGTAATGGTAGTATTGTAATTCTTTGTGTATATAAAGAGACTTGGAATCCTTTGAACTTGCTCTTGTTTAGGTCTTTATTAATTCAATCATTTATATATTTTTGTGATGACTTATGAGAATTTGGTTTATAAGGGTGTGCTTGTAATTTAAAATGTTGATGGAGAGTGGAAAAACAAACTGTCATAATGGATGATTCATTTATATCTTTGGTTGGTTTCTACAAATCGTATAAAATTTTACTTGATTTTTGTACACTTGTATATAGATACAAGATATAGTTTCAACATTTTTTTATATATTATTCGACTACTAGTGGGGTACCTGCTCATTAGATAGTTTCTTTTTGGCGGTGTAGCTGTACACAAGATTCTAGTAAAACTTGTAATTCAGTCCATGTTATTCTGCTTAGGCTTGACAATCGGGTTGGGTTCGGGTTGGCGGATCAGAAAACATAAACTCAACCCAACCCATATAATATATGGGTTGGCGGGTCATGGGTTGGTGGTTGGGAAAGCTCAACCCAATCCAACCCATATAACCCGTTTAAGTATATGGATTCACGGATTTACAAGTTAGCGGGTCAAATCCAACCCATATAACTCGTTTAATAAATAAGCAATGCACTTTAAAAAATGAGGATTTTTTAACATAAAGTCATAAAGTGATTAAAGTAATTAACATAAAAAAACAGTTTTCAACATAAATTCATAAAATCATTAACATCTAAATAAAATTGAAAAATAAAAACGTTCATACAAAGTGGATGCGTTCTTCGTTCATGACTCGTGGGTATCTAATAAAGACGACATGCGTTTTTTCTTTTTTGGTTAGGGCACCGCAAACACAGATTAGACACATACGCATATGGAAGGAATACAATGATACGAAATATTACGAATACGGAAGGAAATCAGATTTCATTAATAATTAAATATATCTATTTCTTTTAAATGTAATATATATATATATATATATATATATATATATATATATATATATATATATATATACACACGGGTTGACGGGTTGACATGTCAAAAATCTCAACCAAAACCCGTCTATTTTTGGGTTGGGTCAGTGACGGGTTACAGTTAGATCGAGAGTTGCCACCCCTACTGCTCTAATACACGAACGAAGTTTAGTAGTGCCATCATATGTTTTTCTTGTGTCCATGGACCAAAACCTCAAAATATGTCCATGATTTTACCTTACTTGATCAATGAAGAATAGACAAAACATATGTTCATATGGCACTTGACCTTTACATACAAAATGTTGTTAAAATTGTTTATAAACTATTTTAATGATGACTTGAATTCTTATCCTGTCATTAAATTCTTCTCGATTTATTAAAATTACATTTTAAGTCTTTTTTTAATGTCAATTTTTTTGCTACAAATAATTCTTCAAATTTTAACTTGTTTTAGTTCTCAAACATCACAAATAAACGAAATTTTAATTATTTTTTTTAACTTTTTGCTTATTTGAGGTCTTACTTTGTACCCAACAAAATTAACAAATCATGTTTAAATTCATATTTATTTGTATAATTCAGTGTTTGTAAAAATCCTGACTAAGTCCTGATTAATCTCCGATTAATCCGTAGGCGCTACTCGGCCGAGTAGAGGACGCCAAACCATCTCTGCCTATGCAATGAGTGAAACAGTAGTAAACCATGAAATTTTAACAATTTGAAGAAGTTCTATCCTGGTAGAAACTATTTGAGGAATAATTGGTGTTATATTAATCATATTAACTTATTTTGTAATTATATTACTGGTATTTACGAACTTTGTTATGATATTAGTCATTTAAAAAAAAATTAACAAATTAATAATTTATGGTCCCTGATTAATCATTGTCTAGCCGATTAATCCCTTAAACCCGGTCCACCGACTAATTAATTATACTATCTCTCTTGAATTATTATTTATTGTTATGAGTCAAATATGACTATCATCCTTAAGTTTAGGGACCTTTTTTGTAAATAGGAAAAAAAGTAATGTTGCTCTATGACCTTTTAAGTTTGACATATAGCTTTTATTTTCAAGTTTCTTAGTGTTCCCAAATGTGCTATCTATTTCGTTTTTGAACTTTGTTAGTTTCGTAGTTTTAATATTTTGTATCATATCTATATATACACACAAGATGGCAAACACCAAGACCATTGAGACATTTACAAAAGCAGAAAAACTTAAATAAAATTTGTCGCTTATATAATCATTTTATCAATTACAATTATAATATTTTGAAGGCATGGAGCATATTCTCCATGTCTTTGTTTGACCATCTATATTCATTAAAATTTTAAATAAGGAGCAGCTTATTCAAGACATGATCAAACCTAAGGAAGAAAATACATTCCTCCTATGTTGGCACAAGTTCAAAGAAAGAGAAGTGCCAAAAATATGATGAATTTTAGATGATCAACTGACATAAAAAGAAAGAACCAACTAGATCAGTTCCATTCACCTAAAAGTATGAAGAAAAGAAAATATACATTTCCTTATATAGCTAAAAACAAAGGTTGGAATTCTATATTAACAAAAGCCCTATTTCAAATACATATATTCAAGATCTGCAGACGTAATCTACTTCATCTGGTTGCATAGTTAGAGACACACTCTTAGCATTATAGGGTCGGTGGTATATCACACATCTTTTTGATCAGAAGCTCCATAGTAAAAATAATAAAATGCATTTGAAATATACACAGTGTTGTTTAATTTACAGCATTCATATAAAGACGAGATAGGTAACTCAACTGCAACATTAAAGAGGTCATTCTTGGATTTTGTGTAGTTATGACTTATGATGGATAAAGTTCTAGACCGAGGAGATGTTCTGTTTGGGAGGTATTCTTAAGGGATTTCCTGGTTGATGCAACTGAAATCTGTTTGATGGTAATGTGTGCATCTTATCTTAGCTTATTATGGAATGATCAAGCATACCTCATGTGTCCATCTTCAGTGTTGAAATTCTTCAAAATATCAAATTTGGTGGGTGTTAAACGATAATAAGAAAAGATTTGAAAGTACAATAATACAACAAGTAAAAAAGAACAATGCCACAGTAAGAAAAATAAAATGAAATACACTTATACACACGTAGTTACACAAACACAAATACTCGCATAGAAATTCAAATAGACACACAGATACACAAACACACGTATACAAAATAATTTCAGGGGGGTACTTTGCGTAGTTTCAACTTTCAAGGCAAAAGAAAAAAACAAATAAAAATGATATTGCCCAAAAATTTCGATCAGAAATTCAGAAAATGAAATCAATTTTGCAGAATACAAATTCTATAATCGATCTCAACAGGACGAAATCAGAAAATCATTTTTTTAAGAAAATATAGTTAATTTTGCAGAAAAAGAAATCAGAAGCAAACCTAAAGCGGGCATCTTTTGGTCGTAGGAAGAACAGAGTCAGAAAATGCACAGTGCTGGGCAGGTGGAGGGCGGTGTGGTGGCTGGAAGACGGAGGAGGCGGCGACGTATGCTAAAGGACGGAGTCGGGATCAAATTTTTAGCATCTTCTTGCTCTGAACCCTAGAGTCGGGGTCAAATTTTTAGCTTCTTTTTAGCATCTTCTTGCTCCACCATACACATGTCATCACCTGACCTCTTTTGAATCCTTTTTAATCGGGCTTGCCCGGGGTTCCTGAGCCGTTATTTCTGGTATTTATAAACACATACTCTCTCTACTTACCACCCAGATCACACTCAACAGAAGTGATCGATTTTCAATTTTCCAGACAGATTTATTATTTTTCCCCAAAACATGCCTCTTTACAGAATCACCATCGGATCTCCGGGGGAAGCCGCCCACCCCAATACACTCAAATCCGGCCTATCAGAATTCATTTCCACCTTCATTTTTGTGTTTGCCGGCTCAGGCTCCGGCATGGCTTACGGTATGTTGTTAATTAGCTATTTATTTAATGAAATAATAAAAATATTTTTTTATCTCTTAATTAATTAACTACTGGGATCAGGTAAGCTGACGTATGATGCCCCAGCAACGCCGTCAGGCCTAGTGGCGGCTTCACTATCCCATGCTTTTGCCTTATTTGTGGCGGTTTCTGTTGGTGCAAACATTTCCGGCGGTCATGTAAATCCGGCCGTCACATTTGGCTCCTTCATTGGCGGGAATATCTCGTTTTTAAGCGCGATTGTGTATTGGATCGGTCAATTACTCGGATCCCTTGTCGCCTGTTTGCTACTCCAGTATGTCACCGGTGGAATGGTAAGACCAAATGGTTAAACTCAAGTCTGAACTTAACCGGAATATAACGACATAAGCCAAAACACTTGACTGAATTTATTAAGACACTAACAAATTTACGTGTTTGTCAATAGAGTTTCTTTTTTCTTTAAAATACATCTCAACTTAAAATCTATATGACTATATATTCGGTATAGAAAAGAAATAAAGTTTATGTATACAAACACTTTAAAGGTGTTTGAGATGGCTTAGTTTATTTATTCCGGTTTTAAAGACATTTTTTTTTGATGTTTTGATAAAATAAAATGAAAAATGTTTATTGATTTAAACAAAATAGTTTTTAGTAAGTTCGTTACTTCTATTTTATTTGAAAGTGTTTATAACTAATTTAAAAATGCTTATTTTAGTAGGAAACTAGTTTACTTTTTACATATGTTTCAACCTTAACAAAATCATATAGATGACCGTCTATTTTTACATCTTTTCACATCAATGAAGAGTATAACAATTAATTATACTTTTACCTATGTTTTTTTTACACAGAAAGAAATTTGGTAAACACTAAAAAAAATATTTTTTCAGCTTATAAAAGTTAGACGCTACATAAAGTCATAAACTATCCAAAACCTTTTTAATTTTTTTTTTTTGATACCACATAATTTAAGTAAAAACAAACATAAATTGTTTTAAATAAACAACGCCCATTTCTATAATTAAACATTATTACTTATTCACATGTTAATTACATTTATATTTTAAAACATATGTTGTGGATTAAAATAAAAAGTGATTGTAGGCAACACCGGCGTTTGGGCTATCATCAGATGTTACAGTTGGAAACGCACTCGTGTTGGAGATCGTGATGACATTCGGCCTAGTCTACACGGTGTATGCCACCGCAGTGGATCCCAAAAAGGGCAATATTGGAATTATTGCACCTTTGGCAATTGCGTTCATAGTGGGTGCAAATATTTTAGTTGGCGGTGCGTATGATGGTGCATCAATGAACCCGGCGGTATGCTTTGGTCCGGCCGTGGTGAGCGGGGTGTGGAAAAATCACTGGATCTACTGGGTCGGCCCGTTTCTTGGTGCCACTATTGCAGCACTTATATATGATAATATCTTTATAGATGAGCATGAGGCGCTTCCGGTAACCGATTATTGATTATTTGGTTTAGTTTATGATTATTAGTGAAATTGATTTTGTCATTTTTGGAAATTAGGCTAAGTTTTTTCAATTGCTTTTAGGGGATTAAATAAGATGTGTTGTTTTGTTTTGTTATTTATATAGTATGGTCTTGATTAATGGTAATTCCGTTATAATTTCCAAATTACAATCCGTGGTTTATTTCATAAAACTGGTCAAAATGTGAGAAAAGATGCATTTTTATGGCATGTGAGGATGCTTAGAACACAAACCTCCGTTACCTTCAACTTCTTCCACAAACTTGTAGTGAAACTTCACCTTTTTTGATTCTTTTTCTTTACCAAACGCCTGGCGCTTCGGGATTCTTATCAAACACCTGGCGTGCATTCTCTGACTCACGTCTACAACTCGAGGTTCAGCACCGAAAACTTCCAACATACGCTCCTTCAACAATATTGCGACTTCCTCCTCCTTAAATCCTTCAAGTTTCACCATCTTCAGCTTCCGCAATTGCCCTTTTTGGACCTTGATGGGCCTCTCATTATCACCGGCAGAGGGCGTCGAGTAGCTTCGTGGGTCAATCTGCAAATTCATTGTGCCATGTTAGAACCTTCGTGGAAGAACTGATTGATCGATTAAACATCGATATCAGCGCGATTTACGACAAAAGAAGGCGGGAACTTACAGTTATGAACAACCTCTTGAGAGAAGTGCAGAACTTCAAGAAACAAAACAACCAATTGATGTTATGATCTTCCATACAAGAATCAACCCACCACAAATCTTCAAGTTTGCTGAATCTAAAATGTTCCTCGTTTTGCTTCGAAAACAACAATGGTCCAAATACGTCCTACAAGAAACCCACAAATCAAAGACGATTCAACTATTTACAAGCCAATACAAACTTACCTTGAACATCCATCCATGGAGTGTAAGTACTTTAACATCCCGAATCGCTCGCAAGAGCGGATTATAATGGTGGTGATTCAAGTGGATAAACCCCGGACATTCAAAATCTAACATCACGTCTTCCAAGTACATTACATTCTTCAGAGAAAACCAGCACAGGGGTCCGCCATATCGAAGAGTTTTGAGCTCCAAAGTCTCGATGAAAACCGACTTAAGATCAACACAATCTCGAACAATTAAGTTCGTAAGCTTAGCAAGACCTTCAACCCTCAAAGACCTGAGTCCATTACATTTGTCGATGATCAATGTCTCGACATACCGAAATTTGTTGATCAGAGACGTAACCAATTCGCAGCTTAAATAATTAACTGAAGTTAATTTGAGGGTCTTGACAGAAAACGGATATGGAGAAGGCTGTGCAAAATCCAAGGTGTTTAACACGATTTCCCACCCAAATTGCCTTGGGAATTCTTGTTTTCCTTTGGAAAAATCAAGATTCAGTTTCTTGTTCAACCCGATTGACGCTGTGAGGATCGACCCTCGATTGTAATGAAATTCAAGCTTTCTGGGTTTCTTTAAAGGATTGTTTTCATCGAAATTAACAAGGAAACTACTAATGATCGATTCAAAATCTTGAAGTTTGACTGTTCTTCCTTTATGTTGGATGCAGGGTCTGTTCCATAAACCTGTAAAGATAGCTACGGCTTTTGATCCAGAATCCAAAGGGTAAATTGAGAGAATTTGAGCAAGAACTTCATATGGTAATTTGCTTATATAGTCTTCCTTAATCTTCAACCTGCAATTTATTCAATGTTTCATTGACTTCATCAAAAAAGTGAAAAACCCAAATCACCACTATTACAGTTGATGCTATAGCAAAATTTCACTCACCTTGAGGTTTCATCAGTAGGGTTGTTCTCTTGTTCTTCCTCCATGTCGTATTGGGTTGAACTTGATCGCTGAAATTTGAAACATTTATGAAAAATTTGTTTCAGTTAAGATTAAATTAAATGATTTTATTGTTATTGAAGGAGGAGCCTTGGCGAACAAGTGTTTGACCTGGTGAGGACGATGACAAATGTCTTCTTCGTACCTTTCCTTTTCTAAAATGCATAATGTTTTTGCAAATTTATCGTATATATATAACGAAATTTACAACATTTTCGACGAAATTGATTCAGATATGCCTAATTCACAAGATTTTCTTGTAAATTTCACAATTTGCTGAGGTTCGGACGATTTGAAAAGAAATACATACGAACTTCCATTGAAATTCTCAAATATTATATTATATTTAATTTAATACATATAAATATACAGACAAAATTACATGTTTGGTTCATTGTCCTTGGTCAACATGAAATTACTATTTTACCCTTACATTATACTTTTAACTTTATTTACTACTTGCTCGTATGCTTCAATCCTGGTTTATCCATGTTTTTTTTTTCTGCTAATAAGATTTGACTTACTACTATTTTCCTCTTTTGCATGTTATCGGATCTAGAGGCTTTTAGTTAGTTTTATTCGTGTATATGTCTTACAAGTTACTTTGATTTGCTTTCCATGTACATGCATACAGTCACTGACGATGATAAAAAAAAAAAAGGTCCTGTTATGATTCAAGTTAATTACGGAAAATATAAAAATTCGAAAACCTGATTGTACTACATTACGTATAATTAACAAATAAACGACATAGTGAAATGATCATTTACCAAGAGAGACTGATTAAATTACAAATTCTGAAAAAATAACTTGTGAAAATTAATGATATGAATAGCATCTTTATCTTTATTGTGAATATATAATTGATCATATACATGTTTTGTGAAATATTGTATAATCGATATATAAGAATAGATTGAAATACATACCTTCCAACATAGAATAATCCGGTATATCATTAGTTTTTTTTTCGTTGAAGAAAACTTCAATTACCGACGATAAATTTCTTAATATCTAAGGTTTGAAATAATCAATATCAGTTTTGATGTAAACTAGATACAAGCACGTGCTATATTAATTATTATATATGGATGTGGAAATTGTAGAAAATACTCAAATAGTGAAAAGTGAAAACTGATGGGGCCCTTTTGAAATGTAGAGCTGTGATTATTTCTCATCAAAATAAATGAAGGTAATTATTCTGTTTAGAAAGTTTATTCATATAAAATCTTGAATTTTTATCATAGTCAATTTTCCGGTTAAAGAATCACCCTCCACCCATAAAATATTCAATGTGTATGTGGGCCAGCCAGATATTCGCAAAGACATTGGGCCAATTATAAATTATATGCTTGTGAATGTGACCAAGTAAAGATCCGGTTGCGATTGAACACAATTTTAATGCGCCTCTAAAATTAGTAGAAAGAAACAACCCACTAACCCATCAACTTTTCAATCTTTTTTGTTAGGGGTGTTTGGGATCATGTACCTAAAACATTTAATCTTATGTTTTTTTTTAGTAAAAGTTTATTTGTTTATACGGTGAGAAAAAGAAAATTTTAAAAAGAAAAGCTTGGTTTAACTTTATTCAGTTTTAAAACGTAATAAGCTAATAAGTTAGTTTTTAGTGTTTAAGAAATGATGCTTATACTAGAGGGAATTAGATGCGCCGTTGGCGCTGTGTACATTGTTTTGTTTGGTAATCTGAAACTGTAGTACATAACCAACCATATTATAATACTGATGAAATGGGATTACATATACGAAACGGAGGTTGGAATCGATTAAACAGTGACGATTACATTAGCAAAAGATTACAATTTCATATTTTTTTGGTAAAAAATGAGTAAAAGGGCCAATTCGGGGGAAATGAAAAAAATTCACGTGATGTGTTTTTTTACATGCTTTACCCCGTACTGAATTGTATAGTAATTGACATTCTTTTTGTAGTCTGACACGTTCAGCCTATAGCCTGCATCATTTACGAGTGGATTGGAATCACAAAATGATTTTAGTTTCTGAAAGATGAAAATTATAGACTATGAGTGAGCGGATTAGATTTGTTATTATAAAAGACTTAAAAAAAACCATACCAATAGCTTGTTTTCTTGTTCTCGAAACACCTGCAAGTGATTGCAATTCATTACCATCTAAATTTTCTTTCGCATTAATCATGCAATAAGCTAAAGAATTAACAATCGACTCTATATCAAAGTTACAAAATTTATGAAAATTACTAATAGCATCTTAACAATCAATCAAATGACATATATAAGGAAAGAAATCAGTAAGCAAACGTTCAAGTTTCTGAGCATCGTTTTCGGATGGTACGTGCTTTATTATAGATTTTCTTTCCTTTTGTATTTTTTTTGAAACATGTCACATAAACGTTGCTTCAAAGCTCAAGAAACAACGTTGTACTTTTTTGGATGCTTGTGGTTTTATTTTCTGTAATTTTATGCCAACTGATTGAGATTTTAATTTTAAGAACAACAATATACCATTGACTACATTTGCTGATTTACCTAGGTTTATGATTAGTATTTAATAACTTATTTTGTCTTATAAAATATTTTTTTGTAGTTTTTAGAGTTTAGGTTATTTTTGGTAACTTAACTTTTAGCTTTATGCTCATGTGGTCACTTAACTCATTTTAAGTTTTACAAGGTTACTGAACTTTTGACATTATGCTCATTTAGTCACCTAACCTTTGGTTTGGTCACTTAACTTTTGGTTTTATGCTCATTTAGTCACCTAACTTTTAAAATTAGGCTCATTTAGTCACCTAACTTTTAAAATTGTATTCATTTTTATAACTTTATTTTAAAAGTTTAATGACTAGATAAAGACAATTCTAAAAGTTTGATGACTAAATGAACACAAAGCCATAAGTTAAATGACCAAACTAAAATTAAGTGACTAAATGAGCACAAAGCCAAAAGTTCGATTACCTTTTAAAACTTAAAATGAGTTAAATGACTAAATGAACACAAAACTCAAAGTTAAATGACTAAAAATGACCTAAACTCTAGTTTCTATCGTAACAAACAAGTTTTTTTCTTTCTTTTGGATAGTAATATTATTTGTAATAATGAAACTAAAAGAAATTATGCAACAAGGTTATCCGATCCCGTAATCGGAAGCCACGATTTTAGGATTGGTTTCAAAATTTTAACAACTGTTTAATTAGTTTCGGTTCCGGTTCTAACTTCACAAAAACTGTTGGTTCCGATTCACGGCAAATTAGATAAGTACCCGTTTATAGGGAATGGTTATTTGGAAAACAAAAAAATCATAAAAATCATAAAAATGCATAAAAAAATACCTAGAGATCACAAAACTTTTTTTTTTGACATTTTTTATGAAAAAATCGCAGGTTTTTAAAGCAATCCGCTGAAAAAAAAAATTGATTTTTTTTTATAAAAAAAAAATTGATTTTTTTTTATTTTTCAGCGAATTTTAATAAAAAGCTGCGATTTTTTATAAAAAAAATTCAAAAAAAAGTTTTGTGATCTCTAAGTATTTTTTTATGCATTTTTATGATTTTTAGGTTTTTTTAGGGTTTTTTGTTTTCCATAGAACCTAAACCTATATAATCACTTCCACTTGTCATACAAACAAATCAATAAAGCAGTATTTGGTGAACAATAATCAAAAGTTGTAATTAAATTTTCACAAACTTTTTTTTTCTTAGATGTTAATATTTCATTCTATAAGATGTGGTGCTATTTTGCATTTAAATGAAATGATATTTTGTAATCGGGAAATAATTATCTATATATAATTTTTACTAACATAGAAACATAATAAAAACTAGAAAAGATTCTCCGGCGTTGCCGGGGTCGGAAGGTATTGCTTTGTAAAGTAAAGTAGCATGTTGGTTGCTTTTTTTTCCGTTAATGTGAGGGTAATTTGGTTTTTCAGGTAGTAGGGACTGAATATTTTCACCATGGGTAAACCATATGGACCATTTATGTAATTTTGGCGGTGGTGGTGGTGGTGGTGATGGAAGATGGTGGGTGGGTTTATGGTATTGGGTGAGTATTTTCTAATAAATAAAACATTAATTTAAAATCAAAAAGAGAATGTTAAATCTGGTAAACCACAGGGACCAATCATGTAATTTTGTCTAACAATAATAATAACAATGATGAGGGACCATTTCTGCCAAAAGACTAAATACTAATAATATGTAATAAAAGGCGAGGGTTATGAAAAAATTCAAACTAAAGTGAAATGGTTGTTTGTGAACAAAAGCATAAAGATGAAGGGTCAATGTTGTAAGTTGGAGGACCAAAATTGACAAAAAAAGTGTCACTTTACTGTTAAAATCTTTCATAACTTTAATATATATATATATATATATATATATATATATATTAAATGCATTAAGTTTATTATTTTCAAACAATAATTAAGAATTAAAAATGTAAGTTAATATGAAGAATGATTATTTTATTAAATAAATTTTTTTATTTCATTGTTGTTAAGGCCCCGATCATGATTTTAATATCTTATAATTTTAGGATCTTACAATGAAAAATGATCTTATCACACTTGCATCGTGTTGAGTACAAGTGTCATGTGATTTTCCAAAGCTATTTTGATTCCGAAGTTCTTACTTTTCGAAGACTGAAAACTGCATAAGTAATTTTGATTACGAGACTATGACGATACCGAAGTAGGTTATAGAGCATATTATGCTCCTTCGGTATGTAATTTTGAAACAAGATCTATACTAGGATCTTAGGATCCCGACTAGAATCTTGATATCTTAACTCGATCCAATCTCACATGTTTTATTCATTCGTCAAATCTTTAGCTTAATAAACTTTATAAAATTCATCATTTCTACTAAAAATTCACAAGCATAACCTACACAATTTTTTATTCAACTTGAGATCAAGCCTGAAATATATGTCTATTCAACTCAAAATCAACCATTATACATCCTAGGAAGCCTCATAGAGCATTACAAACTTCATTCATTCACCTCGATTTATGTAAAGATCTGTGACATGTAGGTTTTTCCCTTTGTGATCTTGTATCTTTAGTTGTACATGACCAAAACCGAGAATTGAAAGTTTGTTTTGGATAAATCAACCTCCATATTAAGTTGAGCTTCTTTCTCTGTGTGTGTG